ATATAAATGCAACAAGTCTGTAGCAATGACATCAGCAAAACCTATCCTCGACATCACATATTTCCCTTTCAAGTATGATGCAAGGAAACAGCTGAATTAGTTGGCAAGCTTGAATGATTTTTAGGAAGCCAAATACACGAAGAGATTTCAGAAACCAAAGTTAAATTAAAAATTCAGTACAAAGAAGGAAACAGGGTTAAAAATGTGCACATTCTTCAATCTAACATTCATTTTCATTTATAATCTCTAAGGAAAACAGTATCTAGAGTCAAGTGACAGATTCTCTTTCAGTCTTCCCTAATATCTATGTAATTTATTTTAAAGTACATTTTCATTTAACAGGGCATGTTATTTTATTCTCTTAGAGTTCTCTTCAGAATTTTTGAAGAATCATCATATCTTTGTTGAGTGTCTCACAAACACACCATTAAAACATGTTCCTTTTGAAAATACTCCAAAGAATGATATGAACACTGGTACTCTGCACAGGCCAGGTTGATTTTTTTTTAAATGGCTAAGTTTTATTCATGTAAACACAAGAAGGAGAGTTAGCAGAAAAAAAAAGTAAAGCTTTGTTTTTCTATGGTGTAATGAAATGACTGAAAACAATTATCTGGAGACACAAATGGAGAAGTTGGGAAGTTTAGTTTAATCTAGCTTCCTCAGAGTTTGAAGCATTCAGTTTTATTTGGATATCAGGGGTCTCTGAGAGATAATAAAGCTATACACAATTCAAGGACCGTCTCAAATTATCAGAGAACTTGTAAACGCATTTAATCTTTCTGAAGCTGTACATGGTTGATTAAATCAGCAATCTTTAAAAGCCTGTATAGCACTAAACTTAACTGAAGTTTGATATTCTTGAAAGAATAGCAAAGTTGGTGATGTGTGTTTGTTATAAGTGTTGCATATACTGTGGTATTTATATTAGCCACCGGGACAGTGTTTGTGGTACTAATTGCACAAACACAAAAAAATATATAAATCACATAAACAGCCATTTAAGAAAAAAAGATTGTAAAACATCAGATTTTAATAAACTACATTTGCTTTAAAATAGCCTTTTAGGGGAGTAATAAAATTGTGACATGAAGTTTCTGTAAAAGCAATCAGTAACAGTATTAGTAGTATGACAAAGTATGGTGGTTTATGTGGGAGCTTGACAGACCAGGGATAAAATTCTTTATCCAGCTCCCACTGGCTGTGAAACCTTAGAAACATCATAGACTCGTGAACTTCATTTTATTCATATTTAACATGGGAATAATCAGACTTATTGGTGCTTGGGAGTATTAATTAAGGGTGTGAGGAAAGATCTAAACACAATGTCTGATAAATATTTGGAACTCAGCAATTTCTTTGTATCTTTCCTTAGGAGAGTCAAAAATCTTCCTGCAGAATCATAGAATCATAGAAAGCAAATAATAGGGAAAACAGAAACATAGAATTCTGAGTTTTACAGCATTCCTTGATCTGAGTATAAATTAGAGGAAAGAAATGGAATTAGGGAAACTAATTTGGAGGCTGTGGTAATAATCTAGTAGAGTGGAGATGAAACAATTTAAAAAGTAGCAGAGAATGGTACCAAAGAAAGAACTGACAAATTCCTGAATGGGAACATGGAGTGGGAGTTATGAAAATTCCAAAGCAAACTCAAGGTTAGCACTTGAGAAGAATTTATTTTTATTTATTCTACCTTTACTTCTATTCCAGCTCTTTATAACTACCTCTTAAAAAACATGTGCCCCCTTCATTTTAAATAAATGAAGGTTTACTTAAAGGGGCTGGAAAAAAGTTAAAATTCAGAAGCAACATGCATGGATCTCACTTCTCTCACTCCCATTCTCACATCCTACTCCAGAGAGGGAGGAACCCTAACCTGTCTCAACCTTTCCCTCCTATCCAACAACTAAGAACTTTTAAGTAGAGTCCCTAGAAAATAAGCGTTTGCTAACACCAAAGTCAGGACAATCATATTAGATGAGGAACACATACCTGGTCTCTGGGTCAGAAGAGACAGTGGAATTTTGCCCATCCAGGAGAACACACATAAAAGTGATATCCCCACTTATTGTTCTGGGCACAGTCTCCTGGGTACAGGAAACTGAACTGAGACCCTGTGGAAAGAATCAACTTCTGGGTGAGACCAGAAGGGCTATTTCTTAAATCACAGTATTTATGGGACCAAAACATATTCAGTCTAAGGGAGAATCCCCAAATCTCTCCCCTCCTCAGCCTAGTGCTCATCATTTCTCTGTGTAGGGAAGGGAAGTACTTTCGATAATGTGTTAAGTTGTGGTTGCTAGATGATGTGAGTTTCATAAGTGTGTTGCAGATATAGACACAGAAAGTTTACAGTGGATTTTGAGGAAAATTTAGCCTTGTCTTGCTTCTAAGGAAGACTGCCTAGGTGATTAGATAGCACAAATGTCTTGGGGACTTCTTTCCCCTAAGACCCATGGAAGGATTTTCCTGAGCCATTACTTGCCTCTGTCTTTCTCTGGAGGTGACATCTTTTGCAGGTTAGGAAGTGCTCCAACCACTTCCAATTTTCCCTTCGATTTTTCCTCCCCGCTCTTTCAAAGAATTGGAAAGCAGTTGCTCAAGTCTCTTGATTATTGGTTTAATTTTACTAGCAATGCTTCCTTCTTTAATTATAACTGTTATAGCTGTAATCACTAGCAGCTTGTGATTTTGTAAACATATGCTGGAGAGAGCAGTGTGAGTTTCTGGAGAACGTAGGCATGGATCGGTAAGGGTGGCTAGTCCTGCCCTACCTGGTCACTCTCCAGATAGCAGCCTTAGAAAACTGGGGAAAATCTGAAGATGGAAGTTTTATGACACTAAATATAATTAAAATTAAAATTAAAACAGCTGCTTCTCCTTGAGTGAAATGTGCTTATCACCATTCTTTATTTTTGTACTGGGGACCGAACCTTGCAAGGCAGGCATGGCATCACTGAGCTAAATCCCTGGCCCATCACTATTCTTAAATGCTTTACACACATTCTGTCTCACATTATTACAGCTGGGGATTCAATCTTTTTTTATCTGTCCTTTACTGACAAACAAAAAATCCAAAACAACAACAACAACAACAACAACAACAACAACAACAACAACAAAACCGGGTCCTATATTTGATTAAAACATGAAAAGTTTGGTCTCATTTGGGAAGATCCTTGTTGACTGTGCTCTACCTCAAGCACCACACTCTGGGCTGTCAACATATAGTTAGAAAAGACATTTCTAAGAAGTTTTTGTTTGGCACTTGAATTAGGTTAAGAATTCCAAGATTTTGATCTTGAATTATTCTTTCAATTTATGATGCTTTTTAGTTAGAATTGTAAACAATGCATATAACACCTGTGCATGCCTCTTTTCACTACACATTCAAGTATTTACAACTGTTTTAAATATGAACATAATATTGACATTCATTGATTTATTCACTGATTCATTCATTCAAGTAATAATACAACACCTATTATATATGCTATTCTAGTCTCAAGGTATATTAATAGTGAATGTCATGTCTTTTCTCAAACTTGCCTTGATATACTATTTTTTGAAGGCTAAGAAAACAACAGGAAAAAACCTCTCTCCTTGCTTCTCAGTATTTTATCTTTTACCGGTGTCAACTTTTACTGTATTTTCATATTTTTTCTCTCACATATTCTCTTTTTTCTCTACAGATTTATGAAAGAACTACAAAATAATTCTCTTTCCCATGGCATTTCTTGATGATTAATAATGCTAATATCAGCAGTCTTCAATTCCTAAATATAACATAATTAATGTTTGCTGCATTGAACTAGGAGTTTTAATATTGTGACAACGTTTACTCAATTATACATCCTATTTACTATTTTTATGTTTTTTTTTTTTGGGAAAAGGGTGATTCTCCATCTTGAATGAGTTTGCAAATACTGTCAAAATCCTTTCATGATATGGGGATGAAGGAGCACTATTCCTATTTTCTTGATAAAATAACAATGCATAACAATGCATAACAACTGTGCCTTTGAAACTACTTATTTCAGGAAGTAGACAAGTTTAAAGGCAAGTATGGACCTTGATGCCATCCATAAAGAATTTCATTTTCTATATTTTTAAGAAAAATGCTATTTATAAATTCTAACCTTTTCTTGTATAAGTTTAAATTAGGTAGCATGAGGATCATCTATTTAATGTTCTTGGCTCTAACAATTTATGTAGAGTGCTGATACGGGCACCAGCACTCTCTCTGATTACTGGAAAATTTTGTCTTATAGTGTGCTTATTACAATTTTTACTATAAATTTTCATGTCTCAAATCACAAACCTTATACTATAAACAGTAAGCTTTTTTGTCAGCCAAGGAAATGTTCCATCTATATAACATGTACCCTTGCAATGTCTTTCAACTCTTTCCCATTCCCATTGCCTTCTTAAATGGAGTACTCATTACCTCATGATCACTTTATGGTCTCCTAGTGGTATTTTCCCCTCACCTCATCACACTCCAATTCATCCTGATACCTAAATCATATTTGCATTTCAGGTGTACCTAATCTTGTTTCCAATTAGGAACTGTTCTCTCATCACTCCCAATTTGTTTTTTGGAACTGAGGACTTTACATACTTACAATTGACACCAGGGCATGGAGTATCTAATATTGATGGAGAATTGTTTAATGTACATATTTCTGCTTCTTCAGTAGAGTAGGAAGCTCTTTCCAAATAGGAGACTAGGTCTTATGAGGTTTGACCACATGTCAAGTAACTGATTCCTAGATCTTGTAAAAATCATCTTAAATTAGACCCCTCAAAACATTAAGCATAGTGATGAGCACCAAATACAAGCTTAACAGCCACACAAGATCTTACTGATCCCATAGAAAAACTGCCTAAAATATGCCAAATCCCAAAAGCCTTGAAGAAGTTTTCAATATAAAAACTTGCCATTTCCTTAATCAGTATAAATTATTTCAATGCAATAGTCAAAGTGAGTTACTTACTAAGGCAAATTTTTTGTTGAGAATCATCTGCTCCACCAAAGATGACTCATTATGAAAGAGGTGGGGCTGCATATGACTCCACATGTGAGGAAACCACCAGAACTCATCCACAGATCCCAACAGACAGTCATCCCCTTCATCTTCCTCTTCAGTTCCTTTAGGGATAAAATGATTATTCAATTAATTCCAGTTGCACTCTCTACCTACCTGCCTATCTGTTTATCTCTCTATCACCTAATTATGTATCTATCTATGTGTCTGTGTATCTAAGTACTCTCAGATGTGGTATTTGGAAGACACCATTTATAGTATCCTACCTGCATATAAGACTTTGAACATAAAGTGTAGTAAAGGAAAATCTGTTAGGGAACAATCAAGAACTGTGACATAATTCTTTTGAAAGTTTTAAACCTGAGATATAGATACTACTTCAAGATGGAAATACATAGCCATTCCCAAGAACCTTAGAACTCTTAACTTTTAGTGCCTTTGTACAATCTGTAGTTTGGAGAGAAGAGGGGATTAGGAGAAAATGCCATTTATGAATACAGAAAGGGGTGTGAAATCCCACTACTAAATCATTTTTACATGGGTTAGGTATGGAGTCATAACAAAATAATTTTATAATTTATTTGGGTCCCTCAGGGTACCATATCATTTAGAATCAGGTCAGTTATTTATTGCAGTTTTCACACTGAAAATAAGCAGAAGTCTCTCAAAATTTCCCAGTTATCAGACCATTTTTGATTTCCACCTTCCCAGGAGACTGTGAGTAACATGAACTGAGATTCTCTTGTTTATGAAGTTTCCAGTCTTAATGATTTTAAACTCTAGTCTTTGTCAGATGTAACTCTCATTTTTCACTGCATCTGTCTGGTCTTCTTCATTCATTTTCTAGGTACCCTTTGCTCAAAGTTTATTTATCAAGACAGAACACCAGATATCAGAGATTTTTAGAAGAGTAACTTAGGCATTTCTTGACCTTTCCTGAAGATTGTTGTGAAATCTGTGATTAAAATGTTTGCATATTGGAATCATACAGGAGTTAGACAAATGATGTCTACCCTTTGGCAGATTTATTTTAATTCACAGTAGGCATAATTGTATGTCTTTCCCCTATTCTTTGTAGCTTGTTTTATTTGATTTCCTTTAATCCTAATTTGGGGATGTTTAAAATCAGAATTTGTTATTTTGAGAACATGTCTCTATTGCTTATTACTTTAACTATTATGATGAAAAGTAGCTGAAATGTAGTTGTAAATTGTTGGCTTGTCCTGGGTTCTTGCTGTTCCTTAATTCCTTCACTTTGCTCTCCTTTATCAGAAATGGAGGAAGGGAGAGGAAGTAGTCAATTGCTCAATTCTCAGTACTATTTCTTAAATTATTACAAAAAATGCTTAAAAACCTTATGAAGTCACAGTAAATTATACTTCATTTTATTCTATATCTATTTAAAAACTTATCTCTGCAGTCTTTTCTTCCCTGCTGTGATACTAAAACTATCATTGGTTGAACCTTTGCCTTGTGTTAAGTATTATGTTAACTGCTTTACATGATGTCATTGAGTCTCACAACCCCAAGAGGTAAGGTAAGAGAAGTGAGGTATTTGGGAGTGTTGGGAGAGAATCTGAGTTTGGAACTTTAATTCTAATTCTTAAAAAGCAACCCCAAATTCAGGGCCCTTAGATATCAAATGGGCCCTTACTGATTAAATGTGGAATCTAGAATAAGATCAGAATTTGCTAATTCAATATCACAGACTTTTTTGGATTACTAGTTTATTCTATAATGTAATTAGAATTTACAGATAACTGTTGCTTCTCAGTGACTTGGTGAACTATACCAACTTAATGAACCTACAAATAAGGAGACTTTTTTGCCATTCAGCTTTCATAATTAAGGACTGCCAATTAAACAACAAAATTAAAGTCTTCTAATGCATATGAATTGGGCTGACTGATCTAGGGTAAGCTTGTTTTTGAAACTTAACATGCTACATGATTTTGGGCTTCTATATGTTTCTATGTTCTTACCTAGAAAATAACGTAACATACTCTGTAACTTCTAGGATTCATTGAAAAGGGACAGTACATGAAAAATGTTCAGCAAAATAACTTAAGTATGGTTAGCCCTCATTAAAATGGAAATATGATTTTTATTTTTATCTCTTTCTCACTAAAGTGTTCAAATCTTTCAAAAATTAAAGTAAACCACATAAGATAAAGCTTTCTTCTGAAATACAGTCTTATGACAGTGCTGCCTTTCTCCTTCCCTTCAAGAGTGAAGGAATATAGTGTAAGTATAGAATTTTTAATAGCAAAAGGAATTATTCATTTTAGAAGACAGTGCCCTTAATTAAATTTTATAATATCTAAGTTTTGAAAAACGTATTATTAAATTTTATATCTGTTCCCACTGAAAAATTATTTCCCTGGTCTTAGATAGCCCTAGCTACAATTTTATGAAAGCTTTCATATTATACACAGATGGCAAGACCCTTTGACACTTGGGTTTAGCTTCATCCTGTGTTGTGCTGTCCCTGATTTAGATGAGGGCAAGTATTTTTGTTGTGAGCTGTGGGAAGTGTCCAAGTAAAAGAAGACGATAAATATTTCAGAGATGAGAAGGAAGAAGAACTGCTGGAGTAATTTCTAGCATTCAGTGTTTGGCAAGAAGGGAATTGAGTTGCCATGAATGTTTTCTTGTATTTCCTGGATGAGTTTGCAATTGTTCTGGTTTTGCTCCTATGGCGATTTGTCTAATCTCCATTGAACATACTATATATTCTATATACCATTGATCTTGTCCTGGTGACTCCTTGTCTGTATGTTAATTTTCTTTTCTTCAAAGGATGTCAAAACTAAATCTTGATATTAGAATACAGGTAGAGGTTATGAACACTCTTGGTTCATTAAGTTCCTGGGGCTCCACACTGTTAAATTTAGTGGTGTGATGGGTCTAACTCTGCTAGAAAAATGAACCAAACTTCTGCATATAAAGACAAAGTTCTTGCTTCATATATCTATGACAAAGCAGCAGAATTTACTATAAGTGTGTGATTTATAATACATATCTAATTGTATTTTCAGTTTTGAGGTCACAATAAGAATAGTAACTCACTCAATCATAATTCAAAGTTAAACCATGATTATGAGGTTCTCATTTGTTAATCTTTCAAAAAATTACAGAAATAGTGCATTTTATTATTGGTCTACGTCATTCAAGTGAATAAAGCTCTTAGGCCAATGTTAAAGTAACTTTTAAAACCTATAAAATTTTCAAATTGGGAACCAGTCATATATATTTGTATGATTATGTATTATACATTATGCAATATGGAAAGTACTACAACCAAGTCTTAGAACTCTCTGGATTTTATGGAAACAAAGGGAAAATCCACTTATCCTGGAAGTGCAATATCACTACTAAAACTGAAATTACTAGTTATGTTATTTATGTACAGATTAAATGTATATTGATATTAATTATATATAGGTAGAATTCTCACTATAATAAGCTTATTATACTTTGGAGAAACTCATTAAATATATATATATATAAAAAATAATCCATGTCCATATTACCAAATTAAAATTTTTAAAAGCATTTGTAATTGTAGAAAACTATTTGATAAACTTTTAAAAATAGATTTTAAAAATTACTTAAGTTAAAGAGGTCACACATATACATATGGTAGAAAATGCAAAAAGTACAAAAGCAATGCAATAAAAAGTAACTTCTTTTCATCCTTGCTATTCAGTCTCCAAATTCTCCTCTTTGCAGATAATCATTCAAACACGTTTATTATGAATCTTTACAAAGACATTGTATATATGTATTAATAGTTCTCTGAGTATGTACAAGTTACTCAACCACTGTAAAACTGAGTTTCATGAGCTTTAAAATCAGCTTTCTAGAGTTGTGTAAATTGCACCCCTTTTATTTTTATATAAGTGGTAACATGTTCTATTCATTATATGGTATTATACTTTGATATTTCAAGATAATTCTCAAGAGCTCTTTTCTTATCAATTACATTGAAAATTATCTCTGTCTTTTTAATGACAGAAGAGTATTCCATTATATGAATGTACAACTATAATTAACTTTTTAACTTCTAAAATATATATATATATTGATTAATTTAATCATGGAATCGTGTTCACCTATCTTGATGGATGAAATACTACATTTGATCATATTAATTATGTTTGAGAAAGAGACCTTTAATTAATTAATCTTAATATTTAAAATGATTTCTTTTCACAACAAATTTTATTCTGAGACCTTGTTGCACACCATTACTAATAACTAAAATAAAGATGATTTTACTGTCACTAAGTCATTTGTTCTTTAATTAATTTTTAATAGGCATTGTTCTAGTCACTGCTGTCAAAATAGGGGAGCTCTTATGGAATATTCATTTATTTGTGGAAAGAGACAACTGATAAATAATTTATAACAAAGTCCCTTTAATATCTATTCACGATATAACTCTGAGCAATCTACGGAAAAGGGGGCTTTTTTAAAGCTATTAAAGAGTAGCTACAAAATGGTTTATTGAAAGAATCCTTTGGAGAACACAAACATTTTGAGAGTTTCCCTACTGAGGTCAAGAATAAGACATAATGCCACCATCACTACTTTTATTTAAAACTGACCTGGAGATATGAGCCAGGTGGAATTGGCAACAAAAAGAAAACAAATCCATAAGGCTAAGAAAGAAAGAAATTGCATGATCGTATAGGCAAAAAATCCAAAAGAATCTATAGATAAAGCATACAGTGAATAACTGAAAGCAACAAAATTGCTAGATACAGGATCAAGGCACATCACTTATATATTTACATACCATCAATAAAGGAATGGACAATTAAAGACACCATTTACTATTGCATCAAAAATTCTAAGGAATAAATCTAAAAACTAAAATCTTTTATTCAGTATAATTAAGAAATACTTAAATATATTTAAGGATTTAAGATGTCAGTTTTCTGCTAATCAGTTTATAGGTTTAATACAATCTCTATTACAATTCTAGCAAGTTTCTCTGTGGATATTTGTAAGCTGATTATAAAATTTATACGAAAATGCAAATAGTGAAGAATAACCAAGGTAATCTTAATGAAAGCAAGCAAACATAGAGCACTTACACTAGCTGATATTATTATTAATTATAAAGTTACAGAAAATTAGACAGTATTAAGAAGACAACTGGATCCAACAATCTGGAAAATGAATCCAGAAACAGTCCATACATACATGTCCCTACAATTTAAAATGTTCATGGTATTACAGTGAATGGGAAAGGATGGTTTTCCAAAACTTGGAGCTAATTAGGTATCTATGAAAATAAGAAGATACTTTAACACCTATCTGATACATACACAAAAATAAATTCCAGATTGATCATAGATTAATGTATTTAAAGTCTTAGAAAATATTTTTATGATCCTGTGATATGCAAAGATTTCTTAAGTCTGAAAAATCTTACTGTAAAGGAAAAAATGATATATTGTACAAAATTAAAATTTAATATATTTGTCCACCAAAAATACCAATAAGAAAGGAAAAGGCAAACCAGATAGTGGGAGAAGTTGTTTACTACACGTAAAGACTAATTAAGAATATATAATGAATTTCTACAAATCTATAATAAAAATCAGAAACTAGAAAACAAAACCCTAATGCTTCTTAAAAAAGGATATCCACATAGCCAATACACGTGAAAGAAATTAGCCTGCTTCTCATTAGATAAATATAGATTAGACCCATAGTATATTTCTACATGTCTACCAGAAATGCTAGAATAAAAGTAAAAACAATATTGGTATTGGCAATGTTGTAGAGTAACAGGAACATTCATACTATTGGAAATATAAATTAGTAAAACCAGTTTGATGAGCTAGTTAGTATTTTCTATTAAAGCTAATCACATATGTGCCATATAACTAGCAATTCCATTCCTGGCTAATAATTAATAGAAAAGAATACTAAAGTTCACTGAAAGACAAGTATAAATATGACTATTTTTAAGCCAAAGACTAGAAATAACCCAATCATCCATATTGAGATGGAATGGATAAAGAAATATTGGTATTTACGTTCAAATAATGGAAAAGAACTATGAAAAATGATGATGTATACATTATAATATTTATGAAACCAAAATAATGTTGAACAGAAAAAACTGGATAGAGGTGAATTATTTTGTTGTTAAAAGTGAGGGGAGGGGTTTTCTTTGAGGGAAACTAGTGACTGTGAGTGGCCAGAAGGCTGAGAATTGCGTTTCTCTTTTCTTTCTTGATCTGCCCACAGCTGTATACAGCTGTGTACAGTTTGTGAAAAGTCACTGAAGGTGAAACTTATTATTTATGTACTTTTATGTAAATAAGTTATAGCTCTATAAAAAGGAAAACTATAACATGTTCTAAAGGTTAAAAATAATATGTTGAATGGAAGTAAGTGACATAAAGAAATAGGGGAAGGACAGAAGAAATGCGAGAAACTGACAAGGAGGGGTGTACAAAACTAGAGTGGTCAGAGAAACCTTATGAGAAGAGTTTGTCCTTTTTTCTTACCTGTATGGTAAAATTTCCCTGAAAATCCCAGGTTGAATGTAAAATTTGTGATTTGTGCACGTAAAAGATTCTGAGTATCAAGCAGGGCCTGAAACATAGAATTTTAAATAAGGTATCAAGTTGAGAAAGGCACTGAGATCTTTTATAAAGATATTTTCCTTTTGCAGTCATAGAATAAAACCACTTCTCTGTATATGAGAGAATTAAATGATAGAAAGTAGTTTATCACTTTATAATTAGACAGATACTTTTGAGATGATATAAAACACATATTTCCCCATTCACTTGCAATAAATTAGCAAAAGGGTGAGCCGGAAAAAGGAAGTTAGAAAGAAATTTTAATCTGTGTATATCACATATATATGTATACACATAAATGACCCAAGAGATTCATCAATGTCCATTTGTCAAAAGAAAGACACTCATTTTAGGTGAAGCTATGCAAGAACATATGTGGAAAGAAACATTATTATTTCTCAGATACATCTTTTGTCTTCAAAATAGAACAGTTTTCATCCTTAAATCTGAGCTCTCCCCAAAGATAGTGATTGTTTTTCAAAGAGAATATCATAGTGAAGAAGATTTCATATTTGCCACCTTTTAAAAAACAAACAAATTACCCTATTTCATTATTTTGGTCCAAGATTTTAATTACAATATCCTGTAAAGTCCCAGGATATGTGTATTTAATGGACTTTTCTTTATTCTTCTATTCTTTCTCATTCTTATTTAAATTTTAATTTTTATATTCCTTTTCTTTCTCTCACAAATACGCACTACAGTAGGTGAGCACCTACCTCAGTTAGGCAAAAATATTGTATTATTAGATTTGGAAAAGATCTTGGTCCACACTTCTTTTACATTTGAGGGAATGGAAGAGAAATTACTTGCTCATTTTCACAGATAAATTTGGCAGGAGATCTCTTATTAAAAATACAAAGCAAACTAGGTCTTCTTTTTACTCTACCATTCCAGATTCTTTCATCTTTCTCAAGTACAGCTGTACTAATTCCTGTTTTCTTAATAGCATTACATTTGGAAGCACCTTCATCCTCAAAGACTCAATCTGTTTTGGGGATAAACAGACAAAAAATGTTTTCTTCAATGACCACCCTGTGATTGTATGCCTTATATGAATGCAAGTGATTCTGCCTATTGTGTATAAGCAAAGAAAGAGATGTTCCAAATCTTAAATTTAAACTCATTTGACAAGTGGTCAGTTAAAAAAATTTAGATAACTAATTCTTTTTTTCATCTTTATTTTGTTTACACAAACTCTTTGGTGTGCATAACTGAACCACATAATGTGTAGGTCCTGATGGCACTCAAAAAGGGAAGACAGTCCTGTTGGTGGATCTCCACATCTAAACACAGGAACGAAAGGGTCAACTGATGGCACTGCCATCAGGGAGAGATAGGTCTTTTCCTTACAGCAGTGGTGTATGGGTTGGGCAGGGAAAGAACTGACCAGGTGAGCATGTTTAAGTGAGGAATGGGATGTATAGTGGTAAGTTGGACTCTGGTAAGCTGGGGTGCTGTCTGAGTGTAAGCGATGAGCTTTTCTCTTTCTATCCTAATGCAAGGAACATCAGATAAGCTAAATGTATGGATTCACATTTGAGCTCTGGAACTTACCAGCCTGTGTCAACAGATGAATGGATAGAGAAAGTGTGGTATTATTCAAATACAATGAAGTACTACTCTGCCATAAATAATATTAATTTCAGTCATTTGTAGGAAAATGATGTACCTAGAGTCAATAATTTAAGTGAAATAAACCAGATACACAATCTTAAATATTACATGGTATTTTTTATAAGTGAAACCCAAAATATAAATAAAGAGCAAAATAAAAGATAGATGCTAAGAAACAGAGAGATAGATCTTTTGCAAAAAGGAAGAGGGCCAAGAGATGGAGGGAGGGGATAAAGAAGGGAGGAGGGGGGGGTGATGAAAGAATTAAGATGTGTTCTGTACTTGTACCAGCTCCCCATGAGGATGTCTTAATTGTGTATTGCAAACATGTACAGTACCCATAAAAAATAAAAATTGAAAAAAATATGTAAGTCTTGGGAGTTAGGTGATCTCAACTGGAATCTTGGATCTACTCATTCATTATTTGTAAAATTAGGATAATAATGATTACCTCAAATTTCTGTTGTGAGGGTTAAATGAGATAATTCATTTATGCGCTTGTGCGCATAGTGACTGGTATGTGCTCAACTATTATTAATTGCCACTCTTCTGTGACTTCTGCTGCTACTATTGCTACTACTAATATGAATGTTATTATTGTTAAATGATACAAGACAGTGTATATATACAGTCTGAAAGAGTTACTTCATTTGTAAAATAGAGACAGTAATCTAGCTCATGAAATTATGATGTGAATTATAAAAAATAAATATATGAACGAGTGATTGGTAAATAAAAATAAGAATAAGAACCATAAAATATTAAGTGTTGGCATTATAATCATTAGCAATATTTATCTATCATGTATCTATCTACCTACTAGCTTACTATCTAAAGCTTTTTTTCCCTCTTCATTTTATTTTCTCTCAGGGTTCTCTTTCTCCCCTTCCTCCTTTCATTTCTTCTCCACAGTTGAATATTTTAGCTGACTTTTCCTATCTTCTCTTTTTCTTAGACATTAGTTTTCCATTTTACCCACGTCATTTCATGCTTTAAAAATTATTTTTAGTTTAATTGATTAGTACATGTGTGTAGTACATAATGTTCATATTCCTTGTGAGGAGTTGGTACATGTACATACGTATCCCAATTCGTTTTTTTTCATCCCTTATCTTTTCCTTCCCTTCATCTCTTGGTCCCATTCTCCTTTGAGAATGATCTAACTCTTTTTTTTATTAAATTCTTTTATTGGTACATTGTAGATATACAACACAATTACATTTCTCATTGGGAATTGTACCTTTACATAATGCATCTTGGTTCTTATTTTTTCCCCAT